CAATTGTGCCTGGATTAATCTTAATCCCTGTTGCTCAACACTTTGGCCTTCTCTTCTTCTACTAGTCTCACCTCTAGCTCGTCTGTCGAAATCTTCAGCCTTCATCCACTCTCCGTATTGATCCTCACATAACCTGTTCTGCTCCATATCCAATTTTCTTGTATCACATCCCTTATTGATGTGTCCAATTTTCCCACAATAGTAACATAAATTCACCAACTTTTCATAACGAAATTCTACCACCTTTTGAGTCTCTGCAAATTTCAGATTAACACATCTAGGCAAAGGCTTCTCCAAATCCAAATGAACCAGCACTCTAATGTATCTACCTTCTATACTCCCTCCATCGGGAATCATCACATCTTTAACACTTTCGAAAACTTTCCCTACCTTCATTCCCACCTCTGTACTCAACCAGTTGATTGGAATATTCCAAACCTGGACCCAAATCTCCATTTCATTAAAATCAGGGTGATCTACTCTCATATCTTCCTTCCAACCCGTTAAAATCAAGAATTGATTGTCAAATGTCCAGTTTATCCCATTGGCCACTTTGTTCTTATCTTCAACAGTAGTAAAGATGAACTGGAAAAAATTGAAACCCAACTCCCTTGTTATTACCTTTCCCTTAATCTGGCATATCTATTCCACCACTCTTCTCAGACCGACAACATTTGCTTTCCGCTGCCCAATAAAATTTTCCGAATAGACTTCGTCGACATTCTTCATTGCTGTTCCTTATATCTCTGGCTCCCAAATCTATTACCGTAGCTTCGATGTGGGACAATGAGAATTTCCGGAACCCTAACTCAATATCCTCCTCCATAACGATCTCTTATCACTCTTGAGAAGAACCTGAGCCTCTTGAATTGAGTAGAGAAGAAAAAACGAAGCTCTGGCAGTTCAACCTTAGCCCTAACACACAAAAAAACCCTAACAACACTCGAAAACCCTAGCCTCACCCCCACTCAGCTTAATTCTAACAAACCTAGACTCAACTACAAAGGCGAAGACAAGTTTATAGACACAAAGAAAGACTCTGGCACTCACCGGAGATAATGGGGAGCTCAACGAGGGAATGGAGAGAAATTTTTGTGTAGTCGCCACAGTTAACAGTGTGATCCATATCTGGGCTTGTGTTCTGGACTTCAGTTCTAATGATATAACTGTTGGCCCAAATACGTAGCTGAAACCACAACTAAGTCTTAGCCCAAAAATTTTGGATAATCGCAATAAATAATAAATAATTAATGTTCACATTGAATTTCGAACTTTTAATCGAGCCAAAAATTTGATTTTTTTATTACTTTGTTTAACTTTCTCAATAAATTCTAAATTATCTTTTAAGGAAGATTTCGGACATGAACCATAATTTGGACTATAATGAAACCAATATTGAGTGTAAATTAATGCTTGGGCCATATTAGGGTTCATTGAAACTCTAAAATCTTCAATCATTTGAAGTAAATTAATATTTTATAACTTATATACATACATATATATATATATATAATCGGTTTTCTGTTCGGTTAATCGAACACTATTATTCAAACTAAATCGAAAACCAAAATTTTAAGAAACTGTAGACCGAAAATCGAATCAAATATTCAATTTCAGTCTTGGTGCAAACCGAATTTTTGGTTTCAGTCATTTCAGCTCGGTTAACCAATTTTGTGCATCCCTAGTTGTTAGAGGACTTTTATTTTTATATTTAAATAATAATTAAAATAAAATAATTAAAGTTGATTTGATATAAAAGTAGGAGACAGATGGTGTGAAATAATGGTTAGTTAAAATTATGTGACTAGATGAATAGTGAATTAAAGTTAATTTTGTGTAAGAATAACTGATTGATATTATTTAATTATATTGATAATTTTTGAGATAATGATGCTGAGTTAAAGTTTGAGTTATATTTTGAGTATGAATTGAAAAAATTTATAAACAAACACACTCAACTTCACACCATCTTTATCATATTTTTACATCAAATCAACTTTAATTATTTTATTTTAAATATATTTTGATATAAACTCAAAATTTCACTAACAATTAATTATACTATTTTTGTTTTAAATTAATCTTGATTAACCAAAAAAACCCATTTTAAGCTAATATATTTGTATCAAATCACACCCTTAACCACCCAATTTCCTCGCATTTTNTTTTTATATAATGTTTAGACAAATACATTCACATTTCTAATATTTTATCACCCACGAGGAAGGAGAGGGTACGAGACTCCGGACAGTCACATTTTTCAACTTTTCTTTCTCGTTAAGTCATTATTAATATGATTGAATAGATTACTTTCAAGTAGTTTTTGCCATACAAATATTCCTCATTTTGTAGTGCAAGAATAGCAAAAAATTGTAATTGCCACTCGTTCTAAGTTCTCATTTTGTTCAAAATGAGAGTACGTAAATTTAAATGCTAGTTGTTATGTCATAATTTTTTCACATGTATATATATGAACTAATCTCCACATTGATATCCTCTGCAATTTTCTGCATTCGCCGATTGCCTGATCTCACATTCTCCGGCAAATCCACGCCGCCGATCGGAATTCACCCATACATTTTCTCACATGGGTACGCCCCCGATCCACTTTCATTTCAGACAATTTTTATTATTATTTTTGTTTAATTCAAAGAATTTAGAATCCTCCATTTCATGATCTGCTCTTATTAATCGCCATCGATTAGCTGGTGTTGGATAATAAACATCAGTGTGCGTATGAGGCGACCTAAACCGTTAGGCAGGCCGACCCGTATCATTTTTTTTTAACAAAAATGCGTACTTTTGTTTATTTTTTCAGAATATGACATTTCAGTTTGAAGGTGCTAATGTGTTGAAAAAGTATAGCTAGCTTTACTGTTTTTCTTTGAGGTGGTTTGGGTGCTATTTTATGCTTCATGAATTAGGTAACATATTTAAAATTAGTTAATTTAACTTGATTCCTTTATTTTCTGATAACTGTGCTTGAATGCCGATATGGGTTGCAGGATTTTTGTTTAGTTAGCTATGGGATATGCCAGGACTTTTAGCATAATTGGTAGATAATGCATGAAGTTACATACATTTAAGCTTTAATTTGCCAGTTAATAATTGAGATATAAAAATATGAACATTAACTCTCATTTGAAGATTCAAATTATCTCGTCCTAGTATTTGTATGTACAGATAATCTTGCGCTTGGACTGCCACATACTGCAGTTTTTGGTAGTGAAGTATGATTTGAATATATTCGATTTGCCATTGAAGCTAAAAAAAATGCTTCATTTAAGTTATTTTAAGTCCCAATCTAATGAAACTGCTATTTGATATTCAGATGAAAGCGAAAATTGTTGTTCGACTCACCTCATAGATGGGGATGGTGTTTTCAATGCTGCTGGAATTGATAAATTCATGAAGGAAGTTAAACTTTCCGAATGTGGACTTTCTTATGCCGTTGTAGCCATAATGGGTCCACAGAGTAGCGGTATTAGTTTCTGCTTGCCAACATATTCTTTTGATATTATTATTATTATTATTATTATTATTATTATTATTATTATCAGTTTCTCGTGCTTGGACTTTCTAGTTTCTAAGCAATCTAAAAGTACCTTCTATTCTTACAGGGAAGAGTACATTGTTGAATAACCTGTTTGGGACTAATTTTAAGGAAATGGATGCATTTAAGGGAAGGCATGCACTTGATGAATTTGGTCTCATCATTTTTTCCGGCTTATTGTCCAAAGTACTCACAGCCTATAAACTTTGTCAGGTCTCAAACCACAAAAGGTATATGGTTGGCACATTGTGTTGGGATCGAACCTTGCACTCTTGTAATGGATTTGGAGGGTACTGATGGAAGAGAACGAGGAGAGGTCTAACGAAAAACTTTTTTTTTTTTTAACTTAATGGCATCATCTTCTCATGCTGTTTTGTTCATGTCACTTATCGTATTCATTCTATGCTTTATCCTTTTGATTTGTTTATCATTTACTGTTCATTATAAACAGATAAAACATCCTTATATCCAACATTTGTTTGTCTTTCTATTTTCTTTGAGTTTGCTAGTATTTGGTGAACCTCAGCAACACGATTCAAGAATGTTTTTACTAACCTTTTGCTTCGATCCTTACATTTGATGAAAATAGTTAGTATTTTTTTGTGCCTTATCTTTTTTTTTTACCTATACTTTTGCTTCTTTTCAGGATGATACTGCATTTGAAAAGCAGAGTGCTCTTTTTGCCCTTGCCGTATCAGATATAGTGCTCATAAATATGTAAGATTATTGACTTGCATTAGAAGTGGTATAGAGAGTATGTTGCAGTTCAGTAATTTTGCTTTTGAGGTTTAGGTGGTGTCATGATATCGGCCGTGAGCAAGCAGCAAACAAACCTCTGCTGAAAACCGTGTTTCAAGTAAGTCATCGAAATTCTTTGTGCATACCTTTTTATGTAGAATGTGTATTTAATGATTTTCCATTGTTTCGAACAGGTTATGATGAGATTATTCAGTCCACGCAAGACAACTTTGATGTTTGTTATTCGTGATAAAACAAGGGTATTATTAGCTTCGTCATTTTACTCTTGGCTGGCTGAGGATTTTTATCCTGATTTACTTTTCCTTTAATGCAGACACCTCTTGAAAACTTGGAACCCGTTCTAAGGGAAGACATTCAGAAGGTTTGGTACATTAATATGTAAATGCTCGATATGTTTGGTTTTTTGGTATTTTTCCTCTGACCTTATTTTTCTGCTTCCTCTCGCGAAGATATGGGATTCTGTACCTAAACCAGAAGCTCACAAGGAAACTCCACTTAGTGATTTTTTCAATGTAAGACCAGCCGATAATTTTATTACTTCTATCATGTCTTTCTTTTATGTTTGCATGATTTGTTAGGATAGTTTTCATAAACCGTTGAACGCAGGTTGAAGTTGTTGCACTCTCAAGTTATGAAGAGAAGGAAGAACAGTTCAAACAGCAGGTTCATCGTCGTTTGAGTTCAAGAATGTTTTGTCATTGTTGATCAAATTTATTTATTTATTTACTTATTTTTTTTTGGTGGAAGGTGGCTAGTTTAAGACAACGATTTTACCATTCTATTGCCCCCGGTGGGCTTGCTGGGGATAGGCGTGGTGTTGTTCCTGCTTCAGGCTTTTCTTTCAGTGCACAACAGATATGGAAGGTTATTAAGGAGAATAGGGACCTCGATCTTCCTGCTCACAAGGTTTTGATATGATTTTTCTTTTTATATATATCAATTGTGAGCAATTTTCGAAGCTTATCAAGCATATAACTTATTTATGTAGGTCATGGTTGCTACTGTTCGATGTGAAGAGATAGCTAATGAAAAATTCTCTGCCTTCATTGAAAATGAGGTATTTCTCCTATGTCTTGCAGATTTTGTTTGAGGTGTTTTTGTATATTTATATATACCACTTCAGTTTTTATTTATTAAATTCTTGATCCATACCTGCAGGCATGGCGACAGTTGGAAGAGATGGTGCAATATCAGATAGTGCTAGGGTTTGGGAAGAAGCTCACCTCTATTCTCGATGTTTGTCTATCCGAGTAAGTGAAACATTTGAAATTTTTTGTAGTTTTTGGTAGCTTATCATTATTGTGGTCAAATATGGATACATGTCAGAAATGTCTGACTGCATCGCTGAAATTTTCAGTTGTCTGTTAGAGTTATATGTCGATGACACTATATACTGAATATTTGGTGATATTTTGATGAATGATTTTCAGGTGGAACTAATAATTCTCATCTCATTTCTTTTGGATAGTGAGAAGTGTCGGTTCATTATGCTGAAACACCTAAGTCTGAATGAAGGAATTATGGCTTAGTAAATATCCTTAAATTGAATTTAATTTTTCAACACACCCATTTCTGGATTTAGCTAATATAGTGAATAGATGTTAAAAGAGACACACGTAACAGGTGCCCACACACCCAAAAATGATATATTAATAAATGTGTATATTTGCGTTTTATAGTGATATAACCTGAATTTAGCTAATGAGACCCTCTGTGTCTATATCTAATTTTCTTTTTTCTCACAAAAGGTATGATGCAGAGGCAACATATTTTGACGAAAGTGTCAGATCTACAAAGCGGAAACAATTGGAAGAGAAACTTCTGCAAGTAATGCTTATAATCAAGCAACGTATTTTGTTATAAAATATGGAGTTGTGGCCTAATTTCCTCTTTGACTTTAATTTTCTTTCTCTCCATCTGGGATTTTTCACATCGATGGCCATGCATTTGGGAGAAGTGCCTTATGAACATAAATTGATCTCATTCCTCGGTTTTTTTATTTTCTTTCGTCTCCCCCTTACAATAATACATTGTTTTTTTGCATTAGCTTGTCCAACCTGCATATCAATTCATGTTGGGACACATACGCTCGGGAACCTTGGATAAATTTAAAGCTGCCTTTGAAACTGCATTGAATGAAGGGAAAGGATTTTCGGCTGCTGCAAGTGATTGCATGGAATATTTTATGTCACAGTTTGTTGAAGCAGCTGCAGGTACAGCTTCTCACATGTGCTTTGAGGTTTTATTTTATCATAATGCTAATATAAGATATTACTGCTATTAAGAACTTTTTGATTTATCCTTATTATGCATGAGTTAAAATTTTGATCTCAAGAAAATTGGGTGCCATGTGATGGATGAGCAAATACATGGAAAGAGATGTAACAGTTAAATTTGTTCTGCCATATTGATAAATATTTTGTACTTTCTTTAGGTGCCGACATTGACCAAGCAAACTGGGACTCATCGAAAGTAAGGGAGAAGCTTAGGCGTGATATAGATGCACATATTGCTGATGTTCGAGAGGCCAGGCTCTCTGAACTCACTTCAATTTATGAGGTATGAAATACAGTCTTGGTAATTATATTTCGCGGTAAATTATGTATACGCAGATAGTAAATTATGACCAACAAATCTTTTTTCACCTTCTCTGCTTTCTAATTAATGCAAATGCAGAACTTTCTCACCGGTAATTTTTGTATGCAGAAAAAACTAAACGAGGCATTATCTGAACCAGTGGAGGCACTGCTAGATGGAGCTAGTGATGACACGTGGCCAGCAATTAGAAAACTTTATAGACGCGAGACTGAAACTGCAGTTACTGGATTTTCCAAAGAACTTTCCGGATTCGAAATGGATGAGGTAACAAAGAATAAAATGCTCTCGAGGTTGGAGGATTATGCTAGAGGATTAGTTGAAGCCAAGGCTAAAGAAGAAGCAGGAAGGGTCTTGATCCGTATGAAAGACAGGTTATTTATTTATTTATTTTTTTTATTTTTTTTAAATCTACCTCGACTATATTTACAATGTCGATTTTCTTGTAAGAGTTACTTGCGTTTTGATAGGTTCTCAACAATGTTTAATAATGATTCTGACTCGATGCCACGAGTCTGGACTGGGAAGGAAGATATACGAGCAATCACCAAAACAGCACGTTCTGCTGTATGATATATCCTTTAATTAAATTCTTCTCGGTTAGTATTTTTTTTAAACCTCTGAAAAATATGAGTTTTATGAATCTATGTT